ATCCTTGCCTCTAAAGAGCACAATGGTTCTACTTCTTCCAGTACAGATTGGTTTGTCCTTTTATCAGTCCATGGGACCTTCAAAAATCTTCTCCAGCACTGTCATTCAAATGCATCTATTCTTCTTAGCTATTCCTTATTAATAACTGACTTTCACATGCATCTGAGGCAATAGAGAATACTATGGCTTGGGTCAGACCTTAGTCCTCAAAGTAACATTCTTGCTCTTGAACACTCTTAAGATGTCTTGTGCTGCAGATTTACCTAATGCAATAAACCTTTTGATCTCTTGACTTCCATGAGAGCTGATTGTGTATCCAAGCAAGATTAAATCCTTGACAAGTCCAACTTTTCCTCTATTTATATTACATACTGATTCAGTTGGGAGGATTTGGGAGGATTCTTTACATTGAGTTGTAATCCATATGGATGGCCACAATCTTTGATCTTCATCAGCAAATGCCTCAAGTCCGTCTCACTTTCAGCAAGCAAGGTGTGTCATCTGCATACAGCAGGTTGTTAGTAAGCCTTCCTCCAATCCCGATGCCACGGTCTTTGTCAGGTAATGCATGAAAAATTAGCCACTGAAACATTTATGAATAGTGACAGAACATTGCCTGATGTGGTGATGGCAGATGATCCCTTTAGGTCGGAAAGTACTCAAAATACAATCGGAGAAGGGATGCCACCTCAAAGTAGAGTCAAATTGAATGGTGTGATTGGAGCAAATCTATTGGGACATTCATTTGCTGATGAAGCATGACTCACAATGAGAAGAGCGAGCTGCAAACATCCACTAATAATCGGAACATGGCATATACAAAAAACGAATGTAGGAAATTGGAGGAAGTGCAGACAGAATGCTCTTTAGAAGTAAGGGTGGTAAGACTTTGACCTAGTTTGGACATGTTAGAAGGATGGAACGTTGGAAAAGAACATCATGCTTGGTAAAGGAGGGTAAGTGATAAAGAAGAAGACCTTTGATGTGATAGATTGATGCAGAGGGTGAACCACAGGCTCAGGCATAGGGATGATTTTGAGGGTGGTGCAGGGCCAGGCAGTCTTTCCCTCTGTTGGCTCTGTGAGTCAAAGCTGACTCGATGGGACCTACCAACAACAACTAGGATTCTTCTTCTTCCCTAGAGGGTCACGAAGAAGACCAACTAACCATGCAAATAGAACGTTCTCTGTGTATCTTGGAATCATTATAAAATGAGAGCAAAATGTCCTAGATGCAGCTGCTGTCATTGCAATACCATGGAGAGCGAGAGGAGACCTAAATGCTCTGTGTTAAGGGTGTAGATGCCTTTGTACAAGGTCCTGCAGATTCTGGGATAGGATATCCCTTCTGCTAGTATCCAGTGAACACTTGAAACCTATGTCTTACGAGATCGACACATTGATCCTGGAAGGTGGAAGGTAGTGAGTGAGATAACGAATATATATAGGAATTAAGAGCAATTCTGTCTTTATTTGTTCAGTCTATTTTTAACATAATAATGTGCAAAAAGTGTGTAAAATAATTTATCTATTTCAAGTTTTACTCACTTAACCAACAACTTAAAAAAAACCCAAAGAAATATAAACATACTTCACCCCAAGACACCATAGAGTAAATGAAACATTATAGGAGAAAGTATGTGAATGCTAAGATGAAAGGAAACTTTCTAATGAGCAATATGAATAAAACTACAGGGGTAAAGTAACTGGAAATTAGAAGAATGCTATGTCAAAGATTAACCAGTTGGAGCTACTGATGGCAAAGAACTGACCGTCTGCTACAACGAAGTAAAAGCCCGAGCATGGCTCTGAGTGAAGGAAGGGAACAGGTCCACTTCCTGAGAACTGTCACCGTGCACGGCTTCTCCACATTCTAAATCCTACCCACCCTGCAAGGTTTAGCTGCAGTGCCACTTCATCTTGGGAGCTCTCGTTGATCCTTCTTCATTAACAAATATCCTCAAGCTCTCCACCTGGCTGTCTACGTTTCTCCTTTGAAACTCTCCAGCTGTCTACCTTCTTTCCTTGTGACTACCATCAAGTCTGTGGTGCAAACTGGGTTCCAGCTCAACTTTCCTTATGACAGGATCATCTCTCCCACCCAAAACCCAATGAACCCAACCCAACCCAACCCACAGGCCTCAGGTAGAATCCCAGGCATAGTGACCTACATACAGATGGTGTCCGAGCCTGTCAATCTTTAAGGGAGCAGGTAGCCTCATCTTTCTCCCAAGGAGCAGCTGGCAGGTTTGAACAGCCAACTCTGTGGGTTGGTAGCCCAATTCCTTTATCCAAATTCTTGAGGACATAAAGAGAAAATCATTTTACCCTAAGAATGAAATGCTAGCCGGCAGACTGATCTCCAAACACTTAATCCAAATAGTTCCCCAACATGAGTATGATTTTTATGTTCACCATAGAGAAACGAAACTTCCTGGACAGAATTCAGAGGCAGGGATCATCTGAAAGACGTGTAGATTGTAACCTACAACCGCTGCTCTGTAGGAATTAAATAACACAAGACTGCCAGTTCTTAGAATGAGGTCACCCAAACTAAACTTTGGTTTGAGAAGACTCTGTACAACTGGGCAAGGAGCTTCTGACATCCAAAGGGAAACAGCGAAAGGATTTGTTAACAAAATGAGATACTGGATTCTGTGAAAGGTCAGCATATGAAGAAAGTATTAGTAAGCATTACTAAGAGTCCAAGAAATCCAAATCTAAATTGTTCCAGTTAAAATAATGGGTCTTAAAGGTCTTCCAGTTAATTCTCTGCCTTCTGATGAGCCCACATTTTTCTCGGGGGAAGAAGAGGAGGCTTTTTACTTCTGTGAAGAGTTAGTGTCTTGGAGACTCGCAGGGCCGGCTTGGCCTGGTCTTACGGAGTCATTATGAGGGAATGAGTTTGGTTTTGAGGTTTTTTGATTCCCAGCAAATGAGAGTCTACCTCCTTTAAAAAATATATTTTTATTAATTAAAAATAATTTTATTGTTAGGTGGTGGTGGTGGAGGGGTTACATTTCCGATGACCACTTCTGCATTACACCGTTCCAACCACTCACTCACCCCTGGCCCTCGGGAGTTAAGGATCCTCTGAGACAGAGGTGTATTCCCTTTCTTCTTCAACGATCCCTCTTTGGAATTTCTTCCTAATAACACCTTTATTTATTGTCTTTCAAAGTCATTTTCTATAAAATAAGATCTGTCATTTCTAATTATGAGGCTTTATGTCAGACTAAGGAGGCTCTTAGTGAGATTTTTTCCCCCCTAGTTGCTATATAGAACCCTGGTGGCACAGTCGGTTAAGTGGTGTGTTGTTAACAAAAAAGGCAGTAGTTCAAATACACCAGCTTCTTGTGAGAAAGACAAGGCAGTCTGCTACTAAACAGATTTCTGGTCTCAGAAACCCTTTGGAGAGGCTCTACTCTGTTCTAGCAGGTTCTGTTAGTTGGAATTGACCCCACAGGAGTGGGTTTATTTATGGGGGTTTTATATTCTATATATTTCTACATCTTTTGAAGATCCTACCGTGAAAAATACCACCGGCCTTGGAATCATAATATCCCAATGTTGGTCTTCTCTGCACTACCAGGCCACTGTGTGTCAGGGGAAAATCACTTTATCTCTAACTTCAGGATTATTAGTACAAGATCTTGAGATCTTTCCTCTCGTAGAATGCTACTGTATCTGAGTCTTGGAATCTGCTTCTTGGGAGGTGCAGGAAAGAGGGCATAGCACTTGAGTACAGTACATGTTGAAAGGCCTGAGGGCCCGATGATGTAGCATTTCAGAACTTTCGCCCGCTTATGGAGTCTCCTTATTATCTTGTGAGACTCCTAGGGCTGAACTTGTAGTGATCATGATGCTGAGTCTTCCTGTTTTGTGGTTTTTCAAGATTTTAGACAGCAGTGATATAAAGATGACCAAGTCATGAGCTATTCACTTGCTTGAAAAGCTTAGCAAAGATGTTATAAGTACAATCACGTCTCCATCTCTGAAATGTAGATGAAGCTATAGCTGAGAAGGTTCAGATTGTACCTAATCCAAGCTAGTCTTCACCTCTAACGTGCTTATTTGAGATGAATTCAATAAATTAAGTTCTTTGAGTCATATTTTATTATGACTATGTTTTATTACTTACTGTTTCATGGGTTTAGGTCTTCTAAGATTTGACGACAAAGTACCATGATATTTCTTCCTATCCATAATAGGGCATGACTGATTGTTTTATCTATGCTGGTTAGTGTGATCAAGAGCTTGCGAAAGGGTGGGGTAAATCTTCAATGGATTGTGTCAGAAATATTTCTTCCTACTTGAGGCTCTTTTATCTTGCCTTAATCCTTAAATATGTCAAAACATCGTATTTGGAAATTGTTTATTTATCACCACTTTATGATGAGTTAGCCCATAGATGGCCAAACTTATTTGGCTTACAGCCCACTTTTCAGGGGAAAAAAGAGAAAGAAAAGATTACTCACCACCTCCCCTGATACCAGCAGTTAAATTGTGAACTACTGTCCATACCTAAGATCTAGTGTAGGTATCTGCGCTTGCAGCCCCCCTGGCTTGTTGCCGAACCCACCCCCAGGAGGGGTGGGGTGGGGCACAATATTGCCCCCTTTGTGAAATACCAACCTACTCCATCAGAGAATAAAACACCCCAACTAAAACACTTACCCCAACTAGTTCACAGGACTATTGTACTTTTATTAGAAATGATAGAAAAAGCATTGGATTAACTGGAATAGCATGTTTAACAACATTGATAAATTATAACCTTTAATAAAATGTAAACAATCATTACTGCACGAAACCGAGAAATGACCTAGCAGCCCTGATCCAACAAACCACAGTCCCAATTAGACATGAATCGTTACCTGCCCTGGGACCAGCTGTGCTCTTGGCGTAGCTTCCTCATTCCAGGCCCCATTGTCCTGCACATGCGGCCAAGACGTTCACCACTGACTCGAAAACAGGTCGGAAATGATGATGAACACTTACCTTCACACTTGAGCAGGAAGAAATCCATGTTGTGGCTGAAGGAGGCACTGAAGTAGGTGCAGTTCTCAATCAGGTCACAGGAGAGGCATTGCCTGTTGAAGCCTTCCACGGTGCTGGCACTGGGGGAGCACAGAGATGGGGGAGCGGACTGAGACAGGGTTCTTAGACTGAAACACCCACGAGGGTCAAGGTTCAAATAGCTTTGCCCGGCATTTCAACTTGAGTGTTTTCCTGCAAAATGTGTTCTGGGAATCTTTTACCTCTCCTCGGTGGGGGCACCCTTGGTGGATGCCTTCCTCCTCCATCAGTCTTGTCTCCTGGAGACTGTGAATCTCTATGGGCCAGACAGTCTCATCTTTCTCTCGCGAAGGATTTGAACTGCTATTTTTGTGGTTCACAGGCTAATACTTGAAGCCTTTCCATTGAAGCCTTCCCTAGCCAGTGGATCTCTCCCATGCTGGGCTGATAACCACCAGGTCAGTATTTGAAACCACTAGCTGCTCTGTGAGAGAAAGATGAAGCTTTCTGCTCCTATAAAGCTTAATAGTCATGGAACCTCCAGGGGCAGTTCTACTCTATCCTATAGGGTTGCTTTGAGTTGCAATCAACTCAACGGCAGTGACTTTTGAGTCTGTGCCTTAGAGACACTGTGTTTTGGATGAGAGACTCACACCAAGCCCTGGGCCAGGCAGCCGGGATAAGCAAATGCTCATGATGGTCAAGATCAATTTGGTTTGACTGGCGTGTCAAGTTCATTGATTCTTTGTGAATCCTGACAAGGCCAAAGCCATGGTCTTGACTTGAGGCGAGGTGAGTTCTTTAGTAAAGTAAGCTGGTATGTTTTATTTATGTATCTCATCTCTCTGGATTACGCATCGTTGTATTCCTCTAGAATGCATAACACTGGCACACGATAAGGGGGTACCTCCGTAATCACCAGCTGAATTAAAACTTGGCTGCTCCCCAAAGTCACTTTTTCTGGCAGAGAGAACTGGCTCTGTCCTTGCTTCTTGAAGAGTCAGGACAGATATGGGGATGCCACCCTGGGATCCTGGTGATCAAATATACCAAACCAAAACCCACACTCACTGTCATTGAGTCAATTCTGACTCATGGCAACCATGTAGGGCAGGGTAGAACTGCCCCTGTGCGTTTCTGAGATTGTGACTCTTTACAGGGCTAGAAAGTGTGTTCTTTCTCCTGAAGAGCGGCTGCTGGTTTCAAACTGCTGACCTTGTTGTCAGCTGCTCAGTGCACTCTGTCACTATGTCTCCAGGGCTTCTGTGATCAAATATCGACACAATGATTCCAACATTAAAAGCTATTGAGGTACCTGATATACCTGGAAAAAGATCTGTATATTTAGTACAGGAGGAGTCAACTATAACCACAGGTTTTAAAATCTATCTTTTAAAGACGGAAAATATACCTTAGGAGAGACATGTGTAACTTTTAATAGTAGAAATTTTAAAAGGATAAGCATATGACTTTTATAATTTTTCCCAACTGATTTTTTAAAATTATACTTAATAAATAGGGAGTAAAATCATTTCAACTTTCGTGACATGGGCAGTGCAGTGACATTAACTGACTTGCACGTTATGAATAATTTGGTGACATGACTGATTTAAATTACCCTGTTAGAGCTGTGTTAACGACAAGTCTATAGAGAGAAGCAAGTCTGCGGTTAGAGCCTTTGCTAAGGAGTTTTTCGTTTTCTCCAAACCTTCGTGTGCGTGGCTCCTGCACCCAGCTGTGAACTGAAAGGTGGACGCAAGCTCTGAGGATGACGCTAAGGGATGCCCTCACAAATGTCTTCTAGATCATTTAGGCAGAAACCAGCGGCAAAAACATAAAGGAGGCAGATGATTACCCCGCCTCGAGCCTCTGTTATCCCGAGAAAAGGTGGTGTGTTGGGCTGGGATGAGGAGTTCTAGTCCCATCATCTCTGAAGGAGTTAGAGTCCTGGAAATGCAAATGGGTAATTCTACTTGGTCTTACACAGTTATGACGAATGAGTTGGAATTGACTTGATGGCAATGAGCTTTTGGTACACTGAGGAAAAGAAGCCCCGGCGGCACTGTAGGATAAACAGGGGCTGGGAATTACAAAGTAGTGGTTCAAACCTACCAGCGGCTCCTTGGAAAAAAGACGAGGCTGCCTGCTCCCTGTCAGACACCTTAATAGGGTCCCTATGAGTTGCAACTGACTCAAAGGCAGAGTACGGAGTTTGTGTTTTTTCTTGAATACTCAGGGAAAGTTCCCAGGGCTAAGGCTACTACACCATCAAAAACTTTCTCAATTGATAACAGTAACTCAGGTAGGGCTCTAAGTTAAAAGCTGGACAGCAAGCAATGTATGTGACTAAGATCACCCATTCAAAGTCCCACAGAGAATAAGCAGGGATGGTACATCAGGTACTGTCCCACCACTCGTCGCGGTCAAGTTGATTTCTCCTTCGGAGACTCCGTGTGTGTCTGAGTACTCCATGGGGTTTTCAATGGCTGTGATCCTGCAGCACAGGTCACGAGGTCTTTCTCCCAAGGAGCCTCTGGGTGGATTCGAACCCCCAAACTTTCAGTGAGTAGTTGATGCACAGCCATTTGTGCCATCCCCGACCCCACATCCACTGACTTTGAGACAATCGTGACTCAAAGCAACCCTGTAAGACAGAACAGAACTGCCCCATAGAGTTTTCCAGGACGTCAATCTTTAGGGATGCTGCTACATCTTTCTCCTGCAGAGTGGCCGGTGGATTAGAACCACTGGCCTTTCGGCCAACTTTAACCACGGTGCCACTGGTACTGCATTTTGTATCACGCGGGCATTCCTAACTTGAACGTTAGGATCTAGACTTCCTCGCCTAAAGACTCACTGGAAGCTAATTCCTCTAATTCTTTCCATAGTTTACTCAAGGTGAAATGACTTCTGTTAGACATCTGTCATTCCCAAGAGAGAGAACTGAACAGAGGTAGAAAAATCAGAAAGATACAAGAAACTTTCAAAGCTGGTAGCCTCTGCATTTTCATGAATGACCCTAGCCTTTAGAGCTACTCCTCTGTGGTGGATATTTTTCTTCACCACCTCCCCTAACGTGGTGCAGAAAAGGTGTCATGTGCCAAGACACTGATGGCCTTAATGTGTGTGAAGAAGGAGGGACACGAGTACCTGTAAAGTTGTCTTCGTCTTGGCAGGTCCTCCGTGCTGAGGAAGTAACTGCAGAGATCATCAAGGGACACGGTAGTTAGTTTTGCTGAAGACAACATTTGTCTTTTCCAATGTCACCTTCTACCTTGCTAGATCTTAGGGACTTTCACCATGGAATGGGCTGATGTGAACAATTTCTTTCATTCCAGTCTGCTACACATGTGGGCAGAGTAGAGAGCAGCCAGGCACCAAGGGACACGGCAAGGGCAGACCTTTGGCTGTCAGAAAGTCTCCCTTGCATTGTAAAAACCTTCAACTTAGAGCCACTGTTGGGGGTGGGGGCTTGTTCTGGGGGGATAGTGGTGATCTGGATTTTGATTGGGACATGTCTTTATAAGATTAGTAACCTTCTGGAGGACAAGGAATATTTCGTGCAAATCTGGACATAAACTCTGGCTCCATCATAAACAAGCAGGGACTGATTTCCATTTACTATTCTGAGCTCTCAGATCAGTAGGTGGCCTGGAGAGCACGGAGGCCAAGGCCATAGGACCTGGACTATACAGTCCGAGTGAAATCCCACCTGCACTTCTCACCTGCCGCACAACCTGAAGTCAGTTACTGAGCTTCCTTTAGTTTCTATTTATTTGTCTTCCAGAGGGGGCACATTATAAACCCACCTCCTAAAGCTCTTGCATTAAAAGTGTTAACATGCATAAAGCACTTAACTTTTGTGCCTGAAGTTGTAAATACTCAGTATTGGCAATAGTTAAAGAGTCCCAACAATGTGGATATTAATGCCACATTTCACCTCACCGATCTGGTTCATCATTCAAATCTAAAGCTTTGAAAGCTGATCTTTAGGCAGGAATTCCATTGAGACAGGATTCCGTGACTTATTTTCCTACAGCACCAGGAAGCTGGTGAAGTTGTCATAAGAGGAAGGGTGAGATAATTCAAGACATGGTGAGTCTGGTTTAATGAAAAATACTGGATGTGGCCTAGTTTGCCAGGAAGATGGGAACTGCTGCCCTGCTCTTGGCTGCCCTGCAATGAAATGCCCCCCCACCCTTACTTACATCTTACTCTGCTTCTCGTCGTAGGCCAGAATCTTAGTCACATCCCAGTCCCCAGAGGTGATTGACTGAATATTGTCATTGCTGCTGTTGGGCTGTAACACACACAGACCAGGCAATCAGGCACATTGTCATCCACAATGACACACACTGGACCAGATAGCTTGATTCTTAATTCTTGGGTCATTTTCAGTCACAAGGAGAGGAGAGACAGCTATTCTCTCAGTGGGTAAGGCCATTCTGTCTCCCTCTCTGCCAGTTTCTTTCCCTAGAAGTCAAATGGAAATCCAGTTTCTACCAGGGAATCTTTCTCGTTCAAGCCCCACACCCACCTCCTGTGTCCTTGCATCTCAGCAAAAGGAAACTCTGTTTTCCTTCTTCTTTGCTACTGATCCAATGCACCTGGGTTTCCAGGTACATTGAAGCATCATAATAGAAGATGCTGTTTTGTTCCTAAATCAGTCTAAGTGGTGGAGTCATGACGACAGGGAGGTGCGGGAGGGAAGAACAAGAGGCGCGTGGGGAAGTTGGTGAAATATGAGAGAATCATCTTGCCTCAAACCCCCTTATCAACCAGGATGATTGAGACCCTATGATTGAGTGTTTGTTTCTCACAGAGGTGAGTAGTACATTATCGCCCTCCTACAGAGCAGAAGGAGGGAGGCGAGACGATCTCGATGGGAAGTGTGTTGAAGCTGGACTTGAAATAAGATGCGGGGTGACAGGGTGCAGAGTCACAGGCCAGCTCTTTTGGACACAGGTGCCGATGGGAGTAGGGGGAGCTTATCCCAGTTAAATAGAGAAGGGCCCACACGAGCACTCTGCAGAGGTGGAAGTCCCTGGAGGAGAGAGTCCCTGGAGCCAGGTGCCTGCTGGGTTCCTCTGGGCAGTGGAGCCCAAGCAGACTCCAGGGCAAAGGAGCCTGTGCAGAAGCATGGGACAGGGCTCCTTAAGGATGGGGGTGGGGGGTTGTTTCTGCTGGAATGCTTTGAACTCACAATAGGCTACCCAGCAGATGCTGGTAACTTCGATGGATTTAGAGACTGGAAGATAATTGAAATATGTAAAATGTCTTGATTCCTCTGGATCATAGTGAAAAAAACAATAACAACCCAGGAATTGGAGGAGGTTGAGTGAAGAGAGGAGGGCATTGGGATAAAGGCGGGCAGCCAGTTTACAGGCATTCTCTGCCTGTCTTGCAGGCACCTACTGAAGTGGTTTTAAGACACAGACACCAGATTCCCGTTCTCGCTGCCTTGAGCCCTGATCTCAGGAGTCACGGTGGTGACTTTTGAAATGCCTTTTGGGCCACTGAATTATTAGCAGGATTCCACTTTGTAGCCACAGAATGTTTTTGTATTAGTTGCCACCCCTCATCCCCAAATGAAACCTTTATTCACCTACCTGGATCTCAAATAACTTTGGACCTCTTCAGAAATCAAGTCCATACACCATGTGAGAGCTTGTCATCTGCGAGCACCTGCAGTCCCCTGTCTTTCCCAAAGGTCTGCCCCCTGGTGGCACCATTGAGGACGTGCAAATGCTCCCTCCTCAGGGACTTCTTTGCAGGGACCCGGCAGGCTCACCAGGGTGTTTATTTTGGAGCTCGAAGTGTGTCTGTATTCATCTCGAAACTGCCTTCCCAAACAACACCCTGCTTATCACCCCCACGTCCCAGGAATTGTGCACTGAGTGACAGCAACAGAGTCATGAAGACTGTGTTTGGCAAAAGCAGACATGAGATGCATTGGTGAGGCTAGACTGGTGAGAGAGCAGCTGAAAGCCAGCCGGCCTATTAAGCGCTCATCCTTCAGGGGTAGGGGTATGAAAAAGAGGCCCCTCCTGCAGATTAAGGAGGAAAGGACAGATGGACACAGGAGTGTCACGCAGATCACTAGCCTTCAGGCTTACACCCAATGGAGAATCCCAGAGCATCCTCTGATAGTGGAGGTGTAACTCGCCTTCTTGGTTGCTAACACAATGGGCAACGTATGTTGGAGACTAGACATTTTACAGAGGAACTTAGCTTCGACTTCACGTGTTCCGAGGGCTCCTTTGGGACCTGTGAGCTCCGTGGTTCATGTCGTGGCCACCTTGGCAATGCAGTTTGGAAACGAGCTTATTTACCTGGGATGAGGACATGGTGATGTGATAGAACTTTCCCCGTCCTCCTTGGGGGATGGCTCGCACAAAGAACAACCTCCGGCTGTCCTTGGAGAAAACGGGCTCTTCATTCTGTACACAAAAGGAACATAGACACTTTGTTTGTTTTGGAAGAGCTTGAATGGGGAGAAAATGTATTTTGAGAGGGCATGAAGGATCCACTTGCTATGACTTTTCTAAGGCAAGATGGCCAGAAGCAGCAGCACCATAGGGGTGGGGCTGGAGGGAGGCCTTTTCTTTGCTCGGTAATCAGTGTCACACTCCAGTTTCCCAAAGAGGAGGGATGTAGGGCATGAACCCGCCATGTCCTAAGCACAGGCAGGCTGAAAGGCATCCCTGGGTTTACAAAGCACAAATACAAAGGATGCAAAGCTCTCTGAGAGAACAGTCCTCTCTGCTACCCACAAACACCGTCGTGTGTGGCCCGGGTATTCGATGTCATAAAGAACCTCACTCAGCATTCATGCATCTGAGTCTCTCTAAACACGAATGCTCTCCTTTCAATCGTTCTTCTGTCCTTTTACAGAATCCAACGCTCCTTGCACTGATAGCCCACCAAGAAGACACACCACAGAAACACACGAGTCAGCCAACCAGCCACAAAGAGATAGGCTATCAGTTTGGGAACGTCAGTGAGCAGAAACAGGATTTCAGGGGCTGACTTTGTGTATTTTAACACTTCTAACTAGAGCCAAACCACCGGTCTCAGGCTGTCACCGTGTGGTGGCCCCTGGGCGACAGGTTTCAGCAGAGCTTCTCGGCTAAAGCAGACTAGGAAGAAAAGTCTGGTGATCTACTTCCACAAATTAGCCAATGAAACTTGTCTCGAGAAAAACCAGATATTAAATGAAAGAGTGCTGACAGATAAGGCTTCTAAGATCTGAAGGCATTCTAAAATCGCAGAAGCCAGAGAACAGATTCTAGGGTACCAACTATTGTGAAGCTGGCCCAGGACCAGGCCGAGTGATGTTCTGGTGTACCTGGGGTTGAGGAAGCCCTGGTGGGGCACTGGTTAGGGTATTCAGCTACTAAGCCCTGGTGGTGTAGTGGTTACACATTGGGCTGCTAACTGCAAGGTCAGTCTTTTGAAACCATTATCTGCTCCTTGGGAGAGAGAGAAACCATTATCTACTCCCCTGGAGAGTTATAGTCTTGGAAACCCTATGGGCAGTTCTACTTGATCCCACAGGATCACTCTGCATAAGAATCTACTCAATGGCAATGAATCTGTTGTTTGTCAAAACAGAGGCCTGAAAGGAGTTCCCTCCTTTTTTCCAGGTCTCCACTGCCTACAGCCCATCGCTCAGCTTCCCGCCAGCCTCTGCTGTTAGTTGTCGCCTTGATGGGTGAAAAGGGAATTTGTTCCACCGCATCGTCTCCAGGGCTCACGTTTGAAAATTGCCATCCATGAACGCCAATTAGTTGCTTGCCATCTACATTTTCTGATTCAAGGAACTCCACGCTAATGTGGGAGAACAAAACGTAAGTAAACCCCCAACAGGCACACCGAGAACTCGTTCCCCCTGCAGCCAGTGAGTGCATGCAAATGTGATATGCCCAAAGCAATCAACTAACATGTGATTACAATGACATTTAATCTTCATGAATATTTGCAATAACATGAAACCTTTCATCTGCAAATATTTAGTCTTCTAGTTAGCCATTAGAGGCATGGTATTTAAAAGCAGCGGGCAATGGAAAGAACAGTTGTAAATTTGGCTTTTCCAATGCACCTTTATTTGCCATCTCTAGGTTAGAGGACTAAAATGGTCCCTCGCTTTTCTGAGGGGAAATGTTTGCACTTTTGGCAGGAAAGATTGAAAAAAAAAAAGAACTTTGTAGCAGTTGGGCTCTAAGCCATCTTGATGGGACAGCCATTGCTCCACAGACACCCCAAGGCGCAGGAGCAAAGGCTCTGGTCCCTGAGGCTCTCAATCTCCTGCTGCTCCTGCTGTCAAGGGAGGAGCTCCATTTAAAGAACTGCAGTGTGAACATCCATGCATTTTTGACTAGGCCACACGGATGTGCATCCTGTGGCAATCTGTCTTTATATTTGGGAGTTGGGGGAGGAGCTTATTTCACTGAGCTGCCAAGAAACGATATGTCTGGCATATAGAGCTTAATTCCTGGTGGATCGGGAACGAATGCATCCGCCAACCCTTGCCATGGTTTGCATGTCCTCATCTTGTCCAAGGTCCCACCTCAAAGTTTGAAATACAAATCCCCCCCCCAAATCCTGGTTCAGAAAGGAAAGAGTCTTACATTGACCCATAGGACAAACTCTTCAACTACAAGGGAGCTTCTGGGGTCCTGCACAAACAGGGAGTGGTCCTGGATGAGAGCCCATGGCTGGTCTCAGATACCAGGCCTTGGCTGTGAAGGAGGATACTTGATTTCTCTCGGATTTCTACAGGAGTGGCCCTTGGCAGGCTTTCCCCGGGGGACACTCTGACACAGTCACAACACAGATGGACTCAGCGGCCATCTCGGTCAGGATCTACTGCTGAGGACTGAGAGGGATGCAGGAAAAAGGGAGGGATGAAAGAAGTCGAGATGGAAGACCGAGAGGGAACCATGGAGCAGCTCTGCCCAAGCTGACCCCACCCCTCTCAATTCCTCCAACAGTGGGCATACAGCCCCTATGAGTTCATTAGCAGTGGGCATCCAGCCCCTCTCAGTTCTTCAGCATTGGGCATAGAGCCCCTTTCAGCTCCTCCAGTGTGGGCATACAGCCACTCTCATTTCCTTAGCAGGGGGCATACAGCCACTCTCTGTTCGGCCGGCAGTGGGCTTATAGCTCCTCTGAGTTCCTCAGAGTGGGCATACAGCCCGTCTCAGTTCCTCAACAGTGGGCAT